CTCCAAAATAAAAAGAGAAAAGTCTTTCAAACATTTAGAACCACTCAATCAGCTTTCTTTTTCTTTCTTGTTCACCTAACAACCTCTGATATGTTCTAGCTTCCAAAGTTGTTTTCTCATTTAAGAGTATTCTTAACCATTAGATACATTGGTTTTAACTATATTATACTTATGTTTTGAAATTGATATATTTTCACTGTTAACTCAGAGGCTAACGTTGACACTGGTTTATATACTTGTGTCACTAAGTTACCTTGGATCAGTATACACAAGGTCAAGTATGTTGACAAAAATGAAGTTTTTGGAACTATATATGAGAGAGTCAGGTAAGAACCCTAGCCATCTTGAGCTATAACATAGAAGGGTCCCTGTTGGAGCTTAGATAACATGGTGACTAATGACATTAGTAACCAAAATGTTTGTAAAGCAAACAGAGAGAGCCACAGATAGGGATATCAAAGTGGTTGAATACAAATTATTTTGGGCACTTGCTATTCAGAATTCAATCTCTTTTCATTGCCTACTTCCTAAGATTCAATATATTTGGTGTTTCTAGTTCTAAGTACACTTCCTATCTGCTTGTAGCTTTATCTTGACATAGAGACCTTGTAAAGATTCAGAGGTCCTAAGTGGGTGGGAACAGGGAACTGTACTTCTAGCAAGCTCCCAAGTGTTACAAATGCTATAGGTCTAGAGCCCCCACGATGAATACAAGTGGCACAGGCACCATCATTTATAGCTGGAGCATAGCCAAAAATTCCTAATTGACCTTTCTCTTTGAATTCACTTCCCCAGCGTTAGTCAGGGTGGTCCTTCTAAACTGTGAGGTAGCCATTCCTCTACTCTACCTGCTTCCTGTGGCTCTCAGTGTCCAGATCTGCACCTGCCCTGTACCCCATCTTCAAACAGTCTCAACTTCACTGTTCCAGTCCTGGTGAATTAGCTCCATTCCTTATAATCATCCTGTGATCTCTGTTTCTGTGCTTTCTCACAAGTTATTCTAATCTGATAAACATTTATTTTTCTTCTAATTACTATCTTCACCCCTCCCACACCCTTCCTGGCTTTTGAAACTGAATTATATAGATCCTTCCTCTGTGATTCAATAACACCCCGAAACTCTTCTATCGTTGTAATTATCAACCTGCATAAATAATTCTTGAATTTTTGTTATTAGATTATGATTGGAGAAGTTAGTTGTATTTTTTAAAGCTATGTCTCTACATTGTTTCACATGTAGAGAATGATTAAAATGTATTTATCGAATTAAGCTGAAAAGGAGAGATCATCAGGAAATAAAAACCTAAAAGGATTTCAAAATTATATTCCAGATGGTCTTCATAGAGTCATGACCAGGATCTCTAAATGTTAAGGATAATATTAATTAGGTTGTGAAAATGAACTTATAGTTGTATTACTATAATATACAAGGTTTGCAGTTCTGTGAAAATTCCATCTTATCTAAGCAATTTAGAACACATTTTATATAGAAACTATGCAGCCATGACTTCCATTTTTAAGGAAGTTAGCAAATATCAGCACAAAATATAGTAATAGATGCAGAATGTAGATGGACTGTATGATAGGAGGAGGGGAGGGTTGCATGAAGCTGCCACATGAAGGAATCTTCCCTAGAGATGTTCTACATGACAAGCTGTTATTTCATCTTAGTGTGTGCATGTAATAATTTAAAATTTTTATTTTTTGTTTTGCTTTTGTTTGGGGATCACATTCAGCAGCGTTCAGGGGCTCCTCCCTGCTCAGTGCTGAAGCATTGGTCCAGGAGCCATGTGGTATCAGGGTTCCAGAAGACAAAGCATGTGCTCAGTTCTTTAAGTCATCTACCAGGCCCAATTTTGTAAAGTTCTAAATGAATCTCAGACTTTAAAGTATTTATACAAAAGAACTATAAAACACAAAGTAGAATCTTTCTCTCCCTCCCATCTTCCTTCCTTCCTTCTTTCCTTCCTTCCTTCCTTCCTTCCTTCCTTCCTTCCTTCCTTCCTCCCTCCCTCCCTCCCTCCTTCCCTCTCTTCCTTCTCTTCTCTCCCTCTCTCCCTCCTTTCCTCCCTTCGCTTTCTTAAACCTTCCTCTCTTGATTTTGGAGTCATACTTGGCAGTGCTCAGGGCTTACTCCTGGCTCTGAGCACAGGTATCACTCTTGGCAGTGCTTGGGGACCATATGGAATGCCAGAGATTGTAGATTATACCTGGGTTAACTGTGTGCAAGGCAAGTGCCCTACCCACTGTACATTCTCTCCAGCCCCACAAAGTGGAATATTTTGAAGAATAGAAAGAGACATGTTTAACACACATATTTATAAGGTAAAAGGTAAGGTAAAGACCCTCCCGTTGATCATCGATTTGCTCGAGCAGGACCAGTAACGTCTCCATTGGAGACTTTGTTGTTACTGTGTCTGGCATATCGAATACTCTCGGTAGCTTGAATATTTTATTTAGAGGCCTACTTATTACACACAAGAATGTAACTGATCATCTGTTGTGTTTTCATCTACTTTTTTTTAAATTAGAGATTTTCTCTTAAAGGAATAAATGACATAATGAAAACAAAGCACCCAGCTGTCATTTTGTTTTTCTCATTGCTATCAGATCCTAATTCTCTCTCCTGCTCTGGCTCAGAATTCTGGTATGGAATAGATTACTTCACTCCTATCAAGGCATTACCTGAGATTGAAAGGTGGCTGGAGCCCACCTGTCTCACCCTGTGAATTCCTCCCTGCTCACAATGCTCCCTTTGTCTGTTCTCATTCATAGCTCACAGAGCCACACCTGTTGGCTCCCCAAACTCACCATCTCAGAGTAAAGAGGGAAAAAAAAAAGTAGGCAAAGTTGGAGTGAGAAAATGCTTCTGAGTATTGAAGTATTTTTGTTCCGATTTGTGCCCTCAATTCAATACTCCCATGGGTGTGAATTATTTTCAATACAACATGAATTTTGGTTTTTGTTCTCTTTATTTTTTTTAAAAAAAACTATTTTAAACTGCTAAAACTTTGATGATTTTGTGGGGTTAGAGAGATAGCACAGTGGGTAGGGCGTTTGCCTTGCACGCGGCCAACCTGGGTTCGATTCCCAGCATCCCATATGGTCCCCTGAGCACCGCCAGGAGTAACTCCTGAGTGCAAAGCCAGGAGTAACCCCTGTGCATCACCAGGGGTGACCCAAAAAGCAATAAATAAATAAATAAATACAATAAAACTTTGATGATTTTACCTCTTGGGCAGTTAAGAAGTTTAGATATTCTACTTCCCTACAAAACTGGGCCCCAGCTAGAATTGATTCCAGTCAGTGACTGACTCTGACTGCAGACTTGAATTATTGTCATTTCTAAAGCCCAAGATCTTTTTTCTAGGCGCTGCTCAAAACGCCAAACTTCAGTGAGGATCTTATTTGAATTTTCAACAACAATTTAATTTAGTTTTAAAAGATACACTAAAAAAAAAAAAGACTGCACATATAAAAGGAGTCTCTGGTTTATTCAAAGATTAAGTGATGAGCCAATACTGGGTCTCAGGAGGATTGCTGCTTTCTCCCTGCACCAGTTTGTGTGATGGTAGCAGGTCTTACACAGGAAAACAGCAGGACAAACGCAAAGGTTTTGGCAGTCTGCAAAGGGAGTGGTACAGGAATAGAACTGACTGTAGACATGAGTCCTCCTCATGAGGGCAAGAGAGAGTAGAGTGAGCAGGGTGCTTGCCTTGCACACCAATGCGGGTTGAATTCCCAACATTACATATGATCCCGGTAGCCTAGCGAGGAGGGATCCCTGAACTCCAGAGCCAGGAGGTAAGTCCTTATTACCGCCTGTGTGGCCCCCAAACACAAACAGAAATAAAACGAGCAAAACGCAGAGTTCTACTGAGTATTTCATCTTCCTGGTTCATTTTCTCTGCTTTCCTCCCTCCAACAATAGCCTTGTAATCCTCCACTCTTCCAGCCTGCCCCCTCCCCACAAGCTTTTCTCCATGTCCCAAAGCTTTTCTCCATGTCCCTGACCATCAGAGAGTGTCAATCCTGCTGTCAGAATCTTCAGTGGCTGCTAAGTGCGCTGAGGATCAATGTAAACATCTTCCGCGAGGCCTTCCAGGCCTCCTCCGTTCTCATCCCTGCTTTAATGCTCAGGCTTTCACCCACATCCGCTCTCCCACCCTGATCTCCGTGCTCCCGCTGCTGCTCCAGCCCTTCACACAGCTCAGCCCTTGCAGTGCGTCTAATCTCCTGTGTTCCCCCTCTTCTGCATTTTAGAGTTCCTCTCACTCTCTGTGAGGCTGTCACTTTTAAAGAGGTCTTTCTGAGCTGATTCCTCTGCCCCGCAGTCTCCGCACCTGCCACCTAATCCCATCTTTCCGCATGCTTCTCACTAGCACGCTTCTTCGCTCAGCACAGATTGGTCTGAAGAACTTCATCGTCAGCAAACTGTCAGTGAGTTTTAGCACCGGCGTCTGGCAGGCACCGCTGGAACTTCATGAATCCTTTGGAACGAACGCATGAATGAGTGGACTTGAATGGGACCTTAATGTCACCATCTCGCTCCATCTTCACAGTCCTTGGAGCTCCCCAGGGCTACGGTCTCTGACGTGCCCACCCGTGACAGGTGAATCATCTCTCCCGCCCCCCCCCCCCCCCCCCCCCACCGCGTGCTGTGCTCCAGCTCTCCAGGGAAGATCCTAGAGAGGTTCTGGACCTGGGGTGACTCAGGGGAAAGGCCCACGGCCAAGTGTCCCCGTGGGTCCGACCTTCAAGTGCACTTGGGACAGGAGGCAGGAAATGAAGAGTGAGCCGGGGTCGCCCAGTGCCTCGAGGAGACCCCCGGGGTCCGCCTGCAGCCCGGCGGCCGGCCGCGGCCCGGGAGCGCCACTTCCTCCTCTGGGGGCCGAGCGCGGGGCCGGGCGGGGCGGGGCGGGAGCCGCCCCCGCCGGGTTGGGCCCGGGGCCGCCCCAATGGGATTCGGTGCCCGGCCGCGGCGCGCCCAGTCCCGTCGCCGCGCTCCGCCGCGTAGGTTGTGCCCGGGCCGGGCAGCAGCGGCGGCGCGGAGCGGGCGGAGCGGGAGGCCGAGCCTGCCAAGCTGGCGCCGGGAGGGGCCATGGTGGCCCGCGCCCGCCGAGGGAACCCTCCGGACGGGGCTGCCCGGCGCGGCCTCCTGGCGCTGCTGCTCGCGGTCTCCGCCCCGCTGCAGCTGCGGGCACAGGAGCCGGGTGAGTGGAACGCGGGCGGCGGGGGCGGTGCGCCGGGCCTGTCTGGGGGCGTCCGAGCGCGGGCGGTTGGGGGGCTCGGTGGCGCCGAGCCCTGGCCCGGGCGGCCCACCGGGGTTCGGATCTGAAGTTCGTTCCCTACTTCCCGACCCCCGCGAACTCCTTCGATCCCCCGCCTCCGACCCGGGGAGCGGCTCGGCGCCGCCCCTACTTTCTCTCCGCGCCGTCCCGCAGCCCACCTAGCTGGGCTTCCCACACTACCCGACGGCGCCGCCGGCCCCCGGGACCAGGTGACACGGCCCGGGGGGTGGGGGTGGGGGTCGCGCCGCCGAGGGGAAGAGGGGACCGGGGGCGGCCGCGATTCCCTCCTGCCTCCCTGGGACCTGCAGTGGCGCGGCTGGAATTGCGGCGTGCTCCGCGCTGGCTGAGCCCCGGCGCTTCCCGCGAGGGTGTTGCTGGTGCCCCCAGTTTGGAATCATTTTACTGAGCGTCCGAGCGAACGACCTGACTCCCCACCACGCTGGTCTTTTCTTGGCTTGGTCTTGGACTTGGTTAACCCACAACCCAGCTGACCTTCAACATCCTTGGACTCTCTCTCTCTCTCTCTCTCTCTCTCTCTCTCTCTCTCTCTCTCTCTCTCTCTCTCAATCTCCCCCCCCCCCTTAGGTAACTAACTTAATGGTAGTGAATATTTTGACAGCTCTCTCTCCCCATTCTATGTGTTCTAATCAGAAAGTATCAAAAACTAAACTAAACCAAGGTTCTATCAGTGAACCATGCACCCATTTTCACATGAAGATATTGGTGTCCATGGTGTTGGCTGCAGTTCCTGCACTTTAGACAAAATGCCTCCACAGTGTAGCAGAGCATGTATAGGCACAACGTGAAGTCACAAAATGTACCTTTTCATCCAACATGTAAGATTTAGATCGTGTGGGTTTTAAGCATTAAGAAAGAAAAAGTAACTCACTGTTGGGTGAGGCTCTGTTAATACTGTACATCGGTAACTGGCCCAACAATGTGGTCTTGTGCTGACTTAATCTGGCCCCATATTTCCAAATGACCTTTCAGATGTTAACATGGTCATCGGCTTGGTAATTGGGTGGTTTCCTAGAAGAGTTCTCTAAGAAACCGTGATTGCTTAGATCTTAATAAAGTTTAAAGTTTATTTCAGTTGACTGATGGAGAAGGGTTGTTTTATATAGTATGCTGTGAAACATTCTATAAATTAGCCTATTAAACCAATAAGGGCTGGGAATGTGTCTCAAGTGGTAGACCACATGCCTTACAAATATGTAAAGGCCAGGTTTCATATGTAGCATAAACTGCCCCTCACCCCAGCATAGCATTCCCCAACCCTCCACCACCCCCACCCCTCCATCCCCCTCGAACACCTCCCTCCCCAGCACCGTAGGCTGTGGCCCAGTGAACACTCAAACAGAGAGTTCTGGCAGGAAAAGAACAAATAGAGGTTTTATAATGATCATATGTCGCATTAATCACACAGAAAGTAATACTTAGATTTGGGACATTTGCTGAAAAGAATCTAGGAATACCACCAGTGCTGATACCTCTTGAGCAAAAATGGCATAATCAGTGATTTTTGAAATAGTTTTCACATCTGTGATTTTGCCAGTTAACCTTTGATCACTATTCTTTTTCAGCTTTTTTTAAAAATATGCACATACATAGTAGGTCTTAAGAAATGCTACTTGCCATGACTTTGGGTGGTGATCCCAAGTAATATTAATGCACCCCTTGTTTAAAGATAGATTTAAGGGCTGGAGCGATACCATAGTACAGCAGGTAGGGTGTTCGCGGCCGACCCAGCTTCAATTCTCAGCATCCTATATGTTCCCCTGCGCACCGCCAGAAGTAATTCTTGAGTGTGTGAGCCTGGAGTAACCCCTGTGCATCACCGGGTGTTACCCAAAAAGCAAAAATAAATAAATAAATAAATAGCATTAATAGTCTGTTTAGGGGAAGAAGACATCATCTATTGCATTTTGCCTTGATTATTTTTGGAGTCAGCTTAGTCTCATGTTTCTTGGCTCTGCAACTGCCTGATCGTCACTCACTCTGAAAACTCTGTAAAAGCTCAACCCTGCACTGGGGATCAGAATTTCCAATGGATGGGACCGAGAAATTTGCACTCTTTGGCAGAAGGGGAGAGGATACACATTGTAGTGTTCAGGACCTACTCCTGGTTCTACACTCAGGGATCATTCCCCTGGGGCTTGGGGAACCATATGGAGTACTAGACATCACACTCATGTTGGTCTTGTGCAAGGCAAACACCTTACCCTCCGATCTGTACTATCTCTCTGACCCTAAGAATTTGCACTCTTAAGAAGCTCTCCCAGGTAACTCAGATTTCAGTTAGCTTTGAGATGGAAACAATTTACATTGTTAAGGTTTGATAAAGTGCTGCCATCTGAGTCAGACAATTTAATGTTAGGCTTCTATTCACTGTGTATATTCCAGGAAACATATGTGATCACTTAATCTGAATGTGATAGAATAGTCAACAAAACTATTCAAACCGTTTTTAGGGGGGAGGATGTATCTTTCAAGCCAGTGTGCAAGAATCTGTTGCTGGGTCCTTCAGTGCATGCCCGGGATACCCAGGCTATTCTTGTGGTTGGTGCTCCAGGTCGTCAAGACTGCACTCATTGGTGCTTGAGCATCTTTAGTGCTACGTACCCAGTGTGATACTTGGGAAACCATGTGTTGGTACCCTGGATGGAACCAGGGCCTATAACATGCAGTCCTGAGCCTAAACCCCTCTCTTCAACCTTTATGTTGGAATCGTATGTCACTTGAATTATACTGGTTCCTTTGTAAGGCTGATGTTTGCTTGCCTATGTGGTGCTTTTGCTCAGTATATGTATTAAGTGGCCACATCTCGTTCATCACACCTGCCAGAACTATTACTTTATGAGTGATGTTTGGGCTTATTTCTACTCCCATTTATCATCTTCTGGATTTACCTAACTAAAGTTAGGTATTTAAGCAGATTGTTTCACATGATTTTTGATCTTATATAAGATCATTTGTAAGTTGATCATTTGTGTTGATTAAATGGTGATTAATCAATAGGCTTGAATTTAGTCTTGTCATTACCATGATTATAAATTTTGTATAGACCAAAAACCCTTAATTCATGTGATACTTTTGAACTAACCAAAAATTCTTGGTTTTTTTCTTCAAATTTATTGGGAACTGGTATTAAGATTCCTACTTATAATTCTGTCAGTTGTCAGTCAAGAGTGGAAATAAACAGTTGATCCCGAGAAAACGTCTCCATACAAAATTGGTTACTTAAAAGTTGCTGTAGGGGCTGGAGCAATAGCACAGCGGGTAGGGCGTTTGCCTTGCATGCAGCTGACCTAGGTTCGATTCCCAGCATCCCATATGGTCCCCTGAGCACCACCAGGAGTAATTCCTGAGTGCATAAACCCAGGAGTGACTCCTGTGCATCGCTGGATGTGAGTCAAAAAAGCAAAAAAAAAAAGTTGCTGAAAAAACTTTGTCTAATTCTAATCTGTTACTACTGGAAAGTTGATTCCTAAGTCATCACTTCCTTATTTTGTTAGACATAAGTCCAACTGTTACCTAAGATTTTGAATGAGTGACTTTTGAAAAAATAAGTACAAGTGTATTCTGGTGGTTTCTTTGTCATTCCTGTCACAGAACCAGTCCTGACTCCAACTTTCCCGGGACAGCAACTGGACTAGTCCTTATGGATGTCATAAGTGGCAGAGGTACTCAGTAAATATTTCGTGATATGAACGGAACAGTATTTGTATGTGTAGGAGACATTTTCTAATTATTTCCTAGTGAATGGAAACTAATAAAAGTGTTTACCAAAGTCTTTAATAAAGGTATAGCAGAGATTCCCACTAATTTTATTTAGTAAGTACAGCAGAAGGAAGAGTACAGCAAGTAGAACAATAGGTGCTGATTTGTTTATGGTCTTGTAGACTTAAGTTTGTTTTGGGGCCACACTCTGAGATGCTCTGGGGCTACTTGCGGCTCTGCATTTAGGAATAATGACTGGTATTGCTCAGGGGACCATATGGGATTCCAGGGATCAAACTCAATTATGCCATGTGCAAAGCAAGTGCCTGACCTGCTGTGCTATTGTTCCAGCCCCTCATCGACTTAATTTGTGCACTCAAAAACACTCAGAAAGGTTATATCAAAAGCCGTTTTGAACAAATCAAAGGATGTTGTTGAGCATAATATGAGCTTTAAGGAGTGTCACAAAATCTATAAACATTCCATCTCAGAAATTAAACCCTTTAATGTGCTACTGGAGCAAACTTGAAAATCTTACTAAACAACAATTTATGAGAAGCAGAGATAGCTTAACAGATTGAATCCATGTTTTGAAACCAAACCTTCAACATTTATAAGAAGTCTTATTTTTAAGATGCATGGAAAAGTTAAACTAATAGTAGCTTTTTAAAGTTATTAAGATAGAATGGGGCATTGGAAAGAACCACTTTATTCAAAGAGCTTCTGGCTTTCAGTTTTGGGGTCATGCGTGGTGATGCTCAGGCCATTTCGAGCCCAGTGCTTAGGGGTTCCTGCGAACCCCTAAGGAGACTAAGCACTCCAGGGCTCATGTGTGCAGTTAGATGTGTCCCAGCCCTTTGAACTAACACAGAAGTCCTTGCATTATATTTTCCATAACCTGTCTGGAATTGCCTTTAGCACAGAGTGAGCACTCAATGAATGCCAAGTATCTTACACTTCATTATTTTACAGTACTGTTTCAGTTTTATTATTCTGCACCATGCTTCCTCCTATACACAGCCATACCGACTTGCTGCTATTTCTCAGAGGTATCAGTCAAAGAGCATTCGCATGACTGTTTTCTCTACCTGAACCAATCTTACCCAGATATTCTCTGTCAGTCTGTGTTCAAATGAGGACTGTCCCTGTACCCTCCACAGTCCATCAGAACTCTACATTCAGTTTCTTTTTCACTACCATCT